TAAATATTTAACTATGAGAATATGAGATGGTTAGATGTTATGTATATGTATAATTGATTGAAAGAAGAATCAATATTACCTTCTTATTCATTAATGTTTTCTTTCATTATACAAATCAAACTACTTTGTAATATCTTCATATATAACTTTATACAAATATATAATGATAAACGAGTCTTGATTAACAGTCTTGTTGACTAATTAAGAACCGAACCCGTTAACGAACCGAACTAAAATAAAACTGAAACAAAAAAGAACCGAACCGTTTCTAACCCGAAACTGTTTGAACCGGGATAAAACCGTTTACTCCGAACCGTTAACAAACCGCAACCCGTCTGCACCGAACCGTTTACTACCCGGACCGTTTACAACCCGAACTGAATTTAAACTGGGATAAAAACCGTTTACACCGAACCGTTAACAAACCGCAACCCGTCTGCACCGAACCGTTTACTACCCGAACCGTATACAACCCGAATAAACCGAAACAGAATCGAACCGATAATTATTTAAACCGAACTGAAACCGACCCGTAAGACTTTTGAACCAATTTCAAACCGAACCGATTTCAAACCGAACTGAAACCGAACTGTCAAACTGTTTTGACAGTACTACACACTGGCAATTAATGACGAAGCAAAATTGTATTTGTTCAACTATGGAACCGAAGATATTCATATTACGAAATTAAGTGCTTGGAGTATGAGGAAGGCTCAAATTAATTTATTTAATAGATATTAACGAGAAGAATTAATGAATTGTGAATAATCATAATCATAATTTCTTTTTTTCAATATTCATTATTCAATCTATGTTGGAGTTATGGAGCAAATGTCACGGATTTAATTATCTGGAATATGTGACTTCTTTTTTTTTTTTTTTTTTTTTTTGAAGAATAAGGAATATGTGACTTCTAATCGATCGGAATTTCCCTACAAGATAGTGGCCAATGTTATGCTATCTATCTATTTATTTATCATATTTTAGGAAGTTACATGGTTTTATTTGCTCTTAAAGTGAGGGTTTTACATGTACAAGTAATTTAAATTATTTTTTATTTATTAAATGTAATAATAATAGTTATAACACTAGTCTAGATCTTTTGTCATGTACGGTTTTAATTACAATTTTATTTAATTATCATAATATAATCTATTTTATTCCCTTTTCCTCACTCTAAATATATTAATTGTCTGCAAAATAACAATACAATAACACTATAAACCACTAAATTTAATATACTAGAGTGTACCCGTGCTCATGCACAGGATATATGTAGTATGTATGTTTAAGGGAAAAAAAAGGTAGAAATGAAAGTTATTAAAGGGTGCTTATTGGTCTATTAAAAAAAAAATAAAAAAATAGAAGGGCTAGAATTGCAAGGATAGGAATTTGAAGTGTTATGAATGAAAGTTGGAAAAGACCTCTTAAATTATATATAAGATGTCATGATTATATATTAATCATACAATGATGATACATGCTCCAAGTCCTCCAAACCATTTTCCACTCTCTTGTTTATCTTGTTATTCTTTTTTGCAATTTCAAATTTAGACACTTTTGTTACTCCGGTCCTTTAAAAGAAAAATCATTGAGATTGTTAACACTACAAGAAAACAGCTGGATTCCGACGGAATTTTCCCGTCGAAAATATAGGAAATTCCGTCATAATCAAGCCTTCCGTCGGAAGTAGTCTGTCGCAGCACCCTTTGTCGGAAATTCGGCCTTTTCCGGCGGAAATTCCGTCGGAAGAGGTGATTCCGACGGATCTAATTCTGTCGGCGCCGATTTTGACTTTAATTGAAATTCCGTGCCCACCAGCCCACCCCACCCCCTGCCCCCACTGACTACCCCCTACCCACCCACAACCAACACTGCCCTCCTACGCCCCCTACCCTCCCACAACCCACACTTAATCCACCCACCCAAACCCGAAATCATCCAAAAAAAACCGAAACTACCCAAAAAAACCCGAAACCACCCAAATCTACCACCCAAACTCACGAAACCACAAAAAACACCCACCACCTTCAAAAATCGCCACCCACACATCACACACGCACACACAACAACGTTACACCCAAAAATCTAAAAAAAAAAACAAAGAAAAAAAAAACCGAAATCGACAAAAAAAATAATAAAACATACCTTATTCGGCCATGAAATCGACGAAAACGGTTTAACAAGGCCAAATTCGGTCATAAAAAGTCTAGATCTAGGCTTTTAATGGTCGAATTTGGCCTAAAAAACCTTAAAAATAAACAAAACACACCCCATGGTGGCTAGTAGAGGCGGTTGCGCAAGGAAGAAGATTCGGCGATGGTGGTGGTCCGGTTGTGCAAGGAGACGAGCGAGAGGAGACATGAGAGGGAGAAGATACGAGAAAAGAGGAGAAGGAGGGAGAAGGAGAGGGCGGAAGAGAGAGAACGGGGAGAGAAGAGAAGAGGAATTCAGAAGAAGAGGAAAGAGAAGAGAAGAGGAGAGGAGAGGAGAGAGAAGGAGAAAGGGGAAGTGGCGGTGGAAGGCTTTTAGGGTTTAGTTGTTATTTTTTTTAAAAAAAAATAAGATTCCGACGGAATATTCCGTCGGAAACTTATTGTTCCGACGGATTATTCCGTCGGAAATTTCTGACGGATTTTAATACTGTCGAAAAGTTAGCGTTTCGACGGAATATTCCATCAGAAGTTTCCGACGGAATGTATTTCCGTCGAAATATAAATTTTCCGACGAAATATTCCGTCGGAAAGCCCATAATTTCAGACGGATTTTTATTCCGTAGGAAATCCGTCGGAAATTTCGGACGGAATATAAATCCGTCGGAATATACAGGATTTCCGACGGAATTTTGAGTCCGTCGGAAAACATCCGTCGGAATCTGGCCTTTTTCTTGTAGTGTAAGATTGAATACTATAATAGAAAATTGTCATACCTGTTAAATATTTATCATCGACATAAACTAATAAAATGACATCAGCAAAGGATACAAAAGTGTACCCGCAAATAAATAGGAATATATGTATGTCGTTCAATTCTTCAATTAGCACCGGTGTAAATAAAATTATTTTACATGCATGTTGTATTGACTTGAAATTTCCAATTGTCTGGCCAAACCCAAATCTTAAGATTGAATAATTTTTTACTATTGAAAAGTATATCTAAGCCGTGCTTTATAGCAAAGTTTTTTCACAATAATAGCTTGTATTTATGACCATGCAAAATCAACCCCAAAATGTAATGCAAAATAGTGTTAAATTGATACAGATCAAGTAGTATTGAATAATGAAAATAATTGTTCGTGGAAGCTGCATCTTCTCATGACGGATATATATCAAGTTAATCTATTTTGGATTATATTCCTTCACAGTTTTTTATGCGCAGCATATTTATTGAGAAGGCAATCATGTAGCATATTATGTTGCTTGCCTCTTTCGACTATTATACTTCGACACAACAGGATATTGTTTCATTTTTAACTCCTTGATAGATTAGGACGTGTTCTTGTGAGAAGACAGTAGCCCTAACCTCGCCGTCGTGTATCTTTCCTAAAAAAGGCAAAGTTTTATTTTCTGCAGTAAGAACAAAGGATTCGCGTCTAGTGGCCTTTCGAGATTGCAAAAGACAAAGCTCTTTTGTTGGCTGTCAAACTCGCCTAGCAATTTGGCTATGTAGATGTCGTCCTAGAGTCAGATTCTTAAGTCCTCATCAACCGACTTTCGAAATCTCTTGTTTTATACTCTGATTTCGATTGTGTTCTAGATGACCTCTATCTTTAAGTAGTTTATTTAAGCCCTTTCTTTGGTCTCATGTTAAAAGGGATGGTAACTATGTAGCCCATTACTTTGTTAAGCTAATGTCGTTTGGTATTGAATAAGTTTGGGTTAATCACTAATGTCCGTCGGTGATTTTCCCACATGTAAGCTATGCACTTTGTCCCTTTAATTAATGCATTAGCTCGACTTTCCCAAAACAAAAAGGGTTTATTATTATTTTTCTACGTAAGGAGAATAAGCCTAAATGTATATTTAATTGATATGAACTTATGACGTAATAATGAATAATGAATTAATTATGTATGGTACAAGACCTAAATACCTAATATAAAAGGTTGTGTGATAAGGAGCACAATCTTTATCACACTATTAACTCTATAAGCATACATTATGGAGTACTCCGTATGACTTTAATTGTATTGTACAAAAGTTTTATACCATAGAATGTACTTCGTATAACAACATATAGCTCGTACCAGTAAATAGCTGATTTAGGGTGTGTTCTATTCACCTAATTTTCACTAATTTGAACTTATTCTACTTTATTAAAACTATAATTTGTATTTGAGCAACTCTTATCAGAACTTTTTTTTTCTTGAACTAAACTTATCTGAATATTAATGAACTTATTAAGCCTGAAATAAGTGAAAATAAGGTAAAGTAAACATGCACGCTCCCAATTGATAAATTCCTTACCTTATGTTCTAGAGGTCCGAACTTTGAATTATATCATGTGAGAGTACTTGGTGTAGGAATCCCTTTACCCCCGTTTATTTCTAAGTGCTTGACTCGTAAAGACTAGAACAAAAAAATCGTTAACATTGAGATTTGGATAAGAGTTCTCATTACCACTAAAAGAAAAACTCCATACGGAGTATCCAAAAATATCATTAATTTCTCTAATTAAAAAAAAATATAGATTTCTAACCAACAAGGCGGTTACACTAAGGTAAAGTGGGCCACCCTAAAAAAATCCATTACGTATTATCATTCCTTCACAAAAAGTGACATCCTTCAAAATATCAGACACTCGAAAGTGACCTAAAAAACACACTATCCTAATCCATCATCCCCACGATCCGTGTCAACATCTCAAACAAAATACCAGCCATCGATCTACCCTCCATCGAACGGCTCAAAATCGCACCCATTTCAAAGAAGTCCTGATCCGTGTGCTTTCTTATCCACCAATCAGATCACTCTTAGTGACTCATTATATATCTCCCCAAATATTCATTCCCCCTTTACTATCTTCTATCCATCAATCGATTCTTCTTCTGTACTCTTTCTGATATTCTCTCTCTCTCTCTATTATTTTTGTGAGATTTTTCTGGAAAACTGAAATCATGGTTACTAATACTGCTACTAAGACTGTGAAGAAAACTTCTGCTCCGAAGAAAGCTGTTGCGAAATCTGCTCCTTCTCATCCTCCTTACATCGAGGTATTTGTTCTTCTCTTTTGATTTTTTTATTAGCATTTGTGATGATTTTTGATTCGAATCTGAAAGTTTGAAGGATTTTTCTGAGTTCTGATATGTCTATGATCGGTTTCATTAAATTGTTTGAGGTTTATGTGAATATTTCGCTTGATTTGAGCTTTGTTTCAATCATCGTTGAGTTTCAGAGTAATTTTATGCAATTTTGTGAATGTTTGATGATGAAACTCGTGAATTTCTGGAAAATTTTGAGGTTTTGGTGATTGTTTCGCTTGATTTTGAGCTTTGTTTCAATCGCTGTTGAATCTCAGAGTATGATTATGCGATTTGTGATGTTTTGATGATGAAACTGATGATTTTTTGGAAATTTCTCGCAGATGATTACGGAAGCTTTGGTTTCTCTCAAGGAGAGAACAGGATCAAGCCACTACGCAATCGCGAAACACATCGAAGAGGAACAGAAAGTTCGCGACCTTCCTCCAAACTTTAGAAAGCTTCTCTTCAACCAACTGAAGAAAAGCGTTGCTTCTGGAAAGCTCGTCATGGTGAAGAAATCCTTCAAACTTCCACCAGGCACGTCCAAGAAGTCTCCAACCGCCGCACCAGCCGCCGCCGAGAAGCCAAAAGCCGCCAAGCCGAAATCCAAGGAAGCTGCCGAGAAAAAGCCAACCAAAAAATCAGCTGCCGCTAAGCCAAAAGCAGCCGTCGCTAAAACCAAGTGTACTACTACTGCAGCAAAGACTAAGGCGTCGACAACGGCGGCGAAGAAGCAGAAGGTGACGATGAAGTCGCCGGCGAAGAAGGTTGCGCCGGTGAAAGCGAAGAAGCCGAAGAGTATTAAGTCGCCGGCGAAGAAAGCTACTGCCTTGAAGACTGTTGCGATGAAGAAGACTAACAAGAAGTGAATGATTAGTAATGATTTGAGTTTGTAAATTTGTCGATAGGTTTAAGTTTGTGTTTAGGGAAGGATGAATGTTGATGATCATAACTACTTTTAGGTAGTTGAAATGAAAAATTTCTAGGGTTTGTAGAAAACTCAGACTTATTTACTAGTTTGGTTTGTTGAAATTAGGTTTATCATTTATGATTAGATGGCTAATCATTTTACCTCAGTTTAGCTTAATTGCTTGTTTTTAGTTCTTCAGTTTTAATACAAATCAGAGATCTGGATTTTCGCTATATTATCATTTGCTTTGATACACAACACATTTTGCTTTGATTTTCACATTGATTGTCTTGATAATAGCCAGTAATTTGTGAAATAAATGTGTTGTTTTTCATTGAGTCACAATTTGAAGGTCTATCATTTCGAAAGGTAATCACAAATGATCTTATCCATATTTTCGAGATTATTAAACTTTTTAGTTTTATTCTCAATTTCGTTGAACGTTTAAAATTTCGAAATTTTAAATTTTTGCCAATATAAAAATATTCACATTAGGGAAATTTTGAATTTTGCGTCAAATAAATCCTCACTTGGTAAAGATCATAATTTCAAATTTTGTAACCCTGGTTACCCAATAAAGTTTGAAATGGGGGAAGGATAACAAAAGAAGAATAAAGTAGAATCATGAAAAAATTAGGTGGCTACAGCAATTTCACAGTTGATAATGGCAGTCTTTAGGTCCTTCTGAATGTTGGGCCTTAAAGGTGATAAAATCATTTCTTTCCAGGCTGAGCCCTCATGAGAAAGTGGGCTTTGGTCCGTGTGAAGTTCGTAAATGGACTCAGCTTCGTCATTGAGGCTACCCAATATGTTCAGACAATTGATTTCTTCCACATCCACTAATAGTCTGCTGTGTCCATCTTTCCATCCTATCAACTGCACATCATAAAATTCAATTATGTACTTGGTTCCTAGCATTAAGTAATGATGTGACCCCATCAATTCAATTCAAAACCTTTATTTACAACTTGTCAATAATGCTACAACATGGTCTAAAATGTGATATTAAGACGAGTTAGTTTTGTATTGACATCCCCGTCTTGTAAATAATAAGATGATGTTAACGTGACAATTTTATATCACATGCCCGTTTTGTAAGTTTATGATGATGCAATTGTACAGGATCATGCACGTATAGAGTTTGTATGAGAGGAGAATGATTCGTGACACAAACTTTTAAATGTTTAAGGGGGGTAAATAGAGAAGGAAGAAGAAATTACCCTGGGTGGACCACATACGGCGTTGGTGCAATAAAGCCTAGCATTGTCAACAAGCTCACAATAGTTTGGAAAAGCACTTGCAAATCTCTTGTGAGACTTTAGCTGTGACTGTACCCTCACTGCCCTTCCAACCATTATTGCTCTCCTGTTTCATATTTCATTCATTCATTCATAAGTTAACGAGCACCAACCAAAATAAGATATACAAAAACAAAACAGTGTATCAAGCTTATAAAAAAAACCGGAGGGAGTATGTAACTTTTACCTGATGCCTCTTACAACCGCAAGATAAGCATCACAAACAACACCAACAAGCTCAATTCTATAGGGCTTCCGTCCCTTTACTTGTTTTGAATGTGCACCATCATCTTCCACTTGCTCCCAATAATTCTCTATAGTGGTGCCATCTTCTGCTTCCTTGTAACCAAGTCCCATTCGATACCTAAACTTGTGAACGTTACGAGCCATTTCTATTGTTTGCTCCACAAAGGGCATCCATGCTAATGTCCCGTCCATTATCACATCCCTCCCTTCATTTAAGGCTGTTACTAGCAACGATTGTGCTGCATCAGTTGATGATTGATGTACCTATTTTAAATCACGGAGATGCATAATCAGCATTAGTCTAAAGTAAATGGATCGGACCAAATTGCATTGATATAACACATACATACATACATACATACATACATGACAAGTAGCAGTGCGTTGATTTTTAAGTCAGATAAATTCATTTCAGATGTAATCTTATCCATGCAATAAACTTTAGTCCTTAATCTTGATTTAGTTTAAGTTAAATCCGAACCAAACTAGGTTGATGCACTCCTCGATTGCCGCTACACGTGCATGCCACTATTAGAGAAAGAAAAATATTCTCATGACTAGAATTGTTGTTATTATATTTCAAAAGAAAAAAAAAAAAAGAATTGTTGTTAGTAAGTACCTTTTTTTTTTTCCGTTTTTTTTTATTTTTTTTTTATTTTTTTTTATTTTTTTATGCTTAATTCTTGTAGGACTTTTACAAGTTTATTTGATTGCACGATGACATGTTACAACACTATGAGTGGTTTTCATGTAACAACAAACAAATTCATTGAAAAAATCTAGATCCAATAATTATTCCATAGCAAGATCATGGCCAAATATCCGATTAAAAAAACGAAATCATGGTCGAAGCATCAAATATTTTAGGTAAACTAGTAGTCAAATCCACTCACTGAATCAATTGATTTATATGGCCAACAAATGTTGTTTTCCAGTCGTCAATACTATGTACTGTAACTTTTAAAAGTTGGTCACCGACATTTGAGCCCTAGTAAATTTCTCCTCTAATGAACACTTTTAGTGATTACAAGTTTACAACAAATAGTTACCCTTGAAAAAAGTCAAGGACATACTTAGTGAATGTGAGGGTAAATTAGTGATCTCCTACATACGACCATTTGTAATATAAGGAGACTTTAAAGGAACAAATGCGTATTAAAGATAAGAGCGACTCAATTTTAAAGAGGCGAAGAGAATATTTAAGGTAAGAATAATACGAGTGATTACCAATTCAGCAGTTTGAAGCATATCACCATGATGACCACTAGAACTAAGGGCTCTGTAAATGACATCTGTCTCTTTGAAAGCATCTGCTTCCACTATTACCGCATTTGCCCCAACACCTGACCAAAATGGCCTGCTACAACAACAATTTCATATCTTTCTTAGCATGCATAAATGATAATTTAAATAAATTATTGCACTTAAAAAAAGGTACGAAAGTAGCTAGCTAGTAAATCATTATGACTTGTTATCTTAAAGAAACTTTGACACAATCAAATTAAGTGGTCGACGAGTAAATATTTAAATGTACAACTAACTTACGTGATGCAAGTAATTAGAATATAGTAAGAATCATAAGAGAAAATAAAGAACTAGGAGGAAGAAATTACTCTTGAAGGATGTCTTTGAGGACAGTGCTCTTCCCGGCACCCATTCCACCACCCATGAGTAGGAGTACCGGACTTCTCTTGTTGTGAGCCACCGGCACCATCACCTCCGTACACGATTCTCCATTGGTGCCGTTAGATATCCCACCTATCGCCTTCATCTCCTCAACTAACGTTGCGAACACTCGTGTCACCTTCAAACTATGTATCACCCTATCGAATCTTTGTTTTCTGTATTGTAACAATGTACCTAGCTATTTTAGTTAAACATTTAATACAAATATTTTTGATACATAATCTAACACTTATTTTTAATTTGTTTGAAAAATAAACTTATGACATCACAAGTTTAACACTATTTTTTCTTTTTTTTTTTTTTTTTTTTTTAAAAAAATAAAATAAAATTGTTCAATTTTTAAGACAACTTAGCTTGTACGAGTATTTAGGATCAGAATTAATGAGTACTATCTTGGATAATAATTTAAAATTTCTTAAAGTCATGTTTTATGTGAGTCAATCCTCAAAGATATCGTGTGTCATTAATTAAGTCAGTTCAATTAGTATAGTTTACACAAAGCTTTCAAGGTAATTCTAGAAGTAATGCAAACATGAAACAAAGAAAATGAAGAATCTAATCTTTCATACAAAGTCTTCATTAGATTGTTAGTGCTTATTTGCTAACAAGTAGAGCACTAAATTATTGACAAATTTCCTCATAATTGATGTGAACTAATTGAGTGGTCTACCACTAACTACGTACGTAATCATAGAATATTATGACTTTGGAGAAACTAATTAACTACTAATGTGGAACTAAAGAAGCAAACATAACATATTTTCAACAACATACCAAAGGGAGTAAGGCTTCTACGTCGAATTTTCAAACTATTTAATTTGTTCGTTGGTTGTACAGGAGTTTTTATCTCTTTTGTAAATGGTTTCACGTTAGGCGTGACAGAGAACTAAAATTATACACCACAAGCCCATAACAACTTGCTACTCCGTATCAAAATAAGCTGGTGTAACAACCAACAAGTACGTGATATAATTTACAGATTAGAAGAAGCGTTACCCATTGAATAAAAATTTCCTCTTATATACGCGGTACATTTTCTTGTCCTAATAATGCACAAGTTCTACAATCTTTAACAAATAGTTTGTAATTGACAAAAACAATAATAATATTAACAGCCACCACTTGGTCGATCTGGTGAAATTATTAATTTGAAGTATAATACTACTTATCAATAATTGTGGCATTATTAGTTTCTGAACACATGAGTCGTGCGGATGATAGAACTGTAGTCAGTAGGTATGAAGTCATGCATGATATAATTGCTCAGCCAATATTCCCCCCTTTTTTGTTTTTATCCTCTTCGATTATATAGTATGACAACCATATATTCACATTTGATTTATATAGTGGTAAAAAATACGAAGTATTATTATACATATATATAGTTATACAAAGATCTAATAATATAATTTAATAGTCAAAATTAACAAGATTTGATATCATAAATCACATGTAACTTGTTTTTATTATCCTAAGGATTATATTTTAAATGTTTAGAATTATGACTAACCTTGTAGCTGCCATCACAAGGTCTTTGAACCTTTTCTTCTCATGATCACTATTTCCCAAGACCTTCAATTTAAAGAAATTAATTAATTTAGCAAAGCAACATAAAAATTAAAGAAATTTAGAAATTTTTCGAAAGAAAATGAGGGCGGAGGGATTATTTATTGTAAATCAATATCCGACATAGTACATACAACTTATGGGTGATGATTTAAAAAGGGAAATTTACCTGACTGATCATGGAAGGTGTTTGGCTCCAATGAAAAGAAAAATAACTAAGAATGCATTTATCAAATTCTTCAATTAATTTGACATAAAGAGATTCAGCATCTGGTTCTTTGGAGAAGAATTCATAGATAAAACTTTCACTTCCTTCTGTTTTCTTCAAATAGTCATATGCCAACTTGCACAATTGAGGGCACTCGTTTGGATCATCAAACCCAATTTGTCTTGCTACAAATATGTCAATGTACGATTAATATAATAATAATAATAATAATAATAATAATAATAATAATAATAATAATAATAATGCTATACGTAGTATTCTGTAAGAACTATAAAAGTATAACAGAAAAATAGTAAACATTAAAAATAAGAGAAAAATAACTCTGATCCGATTAAGAGGTAGAAGTCAGAAAATGTATTTAATTGTTATACTAACTCCTTTATGCCAAGTTTGAAAAAGAAAATACCTACATTAATATGAAGAAACATTGGATTTCCAAATGTTAGGTTTAATAAATAATGTCCTTTAAACTGATAAAAAGTTGTTGGAGGTGTAATCATAATCATCATTTATAATTAAATACGGAGTATGTATATGTATTGAGCCGTGTATTTGCACGTCAATTTATTTTATTGTATGGATTTTTATTATATACAAAGTATTTTTATAATCAAATGAGCACGATATATATAAATACTCGCCTTTGATATTCTAGCAAAGAATTTGTAAGATAATGATAGTAAGACATGGCAGGTTTGTTGGAATATTTGCCATTGAAATTAAAGAATTTTAAATTTTGTTAGAATGAGTATGAAATTTGGAAATTTCTTTATTATACTAAATTAGGGTTGCTATAAAAGTGTTCTACTAAAAGCAAAATTAATAGGTGGTAAATATTGAAAAATTTACGGGAGCATATAACGTTAAATGAGTTTGTTACAGGGTGTGCGTTAATTTAACTATCTAAAATTGGTGGACAATCTGTACTATATATTACTTAAAAAACAAAACAATCTTTTTAAATCCATACACGAAGTATTTCGTATGTTATAAATGGAGATCATAACGTACTATATATTAGTGTTCTATGACGTACTAAAATTGGTGGACAATCATAACGTACTATATATTAGTGTACTATGACTGCGCTGTATACTACTCCCTCCGTTCCTTAGTTAAATGTTTACTTCTACTTCTCTTTATTATGCGAGTAATAAATACTAGAAATAGGTATCTATTTAAAGGGACAGAGGAGTAGTGTATAGTAATGCCAAATTGACTTTATTGTGATTCATCCTCAACTCATTTCAATGTAGGTCCTTTTTTCTGCCTCAAAAATCTTGCCATCATATAATTTACACTCTTAATTATGTACAATATTCC